CCCCAAAACCCCAAAACCCCAAAACCCCTATTTCTAAAAAATTAATTGAAATTATTTTAAGAATAAAATGTATAGTAAATACGAGCCACCTAAGCATGCAATTCCCAAGCTAGACCGAGAAAAGATGAATTTATCAGAACTAGATAAACTCAAAAACCTCGGTAGGGCTCTGTCCGTCCCTTATCACACTTCTTTTAGAGACCTGATACGGTCCTCACTGGGAGGACGCGATTGATCGGAACTTCTTCACTGCTAATTCTTCCCTGAAGTTTCCTTCCTCTACCAGAAGTAAGTGCTTCTCTTTCTCTAAACCTTGATTACCTGACCTTCTAAACTCTTAGGCTCGCATGCATGTTCTACGAAGACAAAGCTACTGTTGGCGAAGAGGCACGCCAAGAGGCGTTGCCTCTTCGCAGCCCAGCAGAACGAGTCTAACTTGAAATTCCATGCACTGTAAGAATTTAAGTGGTTACGGTTTAGGATGAAGAAGCAAAATAGGTGGGTTTTAGGGGATTTTTGGGGAGGTTTAGGTGAAATAGAGGCGGTTAGGGTTGGGTAGTGGGGGAGATTTGGGGGTTTAGGGTGATGTTCTTTTGGGGAAATGTAATCTGATAATAAGAGAGAGATGGAAGAGAATGAAATTTGGGAGGTTTCTCAATTTTAAGTACTCTAATGATATGAATAAAGTTATTCGGAAATTTTTAATATGTGGAAATAATCTCGAAATTAAAAAAATAGGTATAAAGGAAAGAACCTCAGCCAAATATCGAATTGATGGTCTCTCCTAAATGGAATTGATGAATATGTCACTGAAAGAAGGTAATTTTAATAATCTATGATTAGAGAAATAAGCAGAAGCAAGTTTCCATCCTTAAGAAATATTGGTAAGCCTGACTTGACCATTTAGATAAACAATCTCAGAACTCAAAGTACAGAGTTAGTCTAAGAAGCGTCAGTCCAAATTCAATAAATCCTTCATTTATCAAGAATTGGGAATTTCCTGAAACTATTGACAAAGAAAAGGAGATTGTAGAAGAAGATGAGGTCAATTTAAAGACTACTCCAAAATTTGTCCCCAATCTCACTAGCAGAAAGGCTAATAAATCTGTCAATATTGTCTTCGGAAACCATCCAAATGATCTTTCAGACATTCCAAGGAAATCTCAGGCTGGGTCTCCAACAGATAGAAGTCACGAAAATATTATCACTGGGGAAGACTTCTCGCCTGATCTTAACGATAACCTTTTAAGAAGTATTCCCAAAATAAACATTAACACTGAAGGAGGGCCTCTCAGTTTCAAAAAGTTTCGGAAAATGAAGAATATTTATAATAAGCTAGCCATGGATAAGCTAGACCTTAACACAGGTAGAAAATCAAAGAAGCTGGCTGAATATATCCTTGGAGGCATGGAAAGGTACTTTCTGCTTAAATTCTTCCTATAGGCAACCAGAGAACAAAAGTATCCTAAACAATCCAGAAACCGCTTATTCTCTAGGACCAAAGGTCCTGAAGAGCAAGGCTATCAGAACATTAGATTTAGAGACTAGCAAACTTAGCCAGAAAGGTAACTTAGCTAGTTGATTTCTAGGTATCGATTCCTTATGCAAGTACCTGAAATGGAACAAGAACCTAAACTCTTTGAACTTGGCCAGGAACTCTATTAATAACGAAGCTCTGCAGTACATTCTTGATGCACTTGAGGACAATGATAATATTGAGACTCTGGATCTTAGCATGAATAGGTTCGATTCACTAATCGTAGCAGATATCTGAAGGATCATTGAAACAACCTATATTAAAAACTTGACCTTGAAAGACAACAATTTTGGACGCAAAGGAGCATTCAAAATAGCTCAAATCCTTTTGACAGAGACAAGCAAAAGTATCGACTTAGTGTAAAATATAGATATCCTGGAAAGAGTAGATTTCAGCTGCATAAAATCTGATGCAGAAGGCACTGCGAAGATCCTTGAGTGTTTAGCAAAGGGACATACTATCAAGAGCTTTACTTATGATAGAAACCGTATAAGTACACCTAAGGCTTGGGGATTCCTTAGAACAGTGATCTCATCCAATGCGTTAATTCAATATCTCTCACTAGCTTAGATAACTGTAATCTCTCAAATGACGGAGCTTGTTCTATCGGAGCTGGAATAATCAAGAATTCCTCCCTTAAAACTCTTTTACTCAGATCAAACTTTATTGGTGATGTAGGGGCTATCTCAATAGCTCAAGGGATAGGTTCAAGTAAAGCTACGCTTGAAAAGCTTGACCTCTCATCGAATGAGATAACAGACAGAGGAGGCAAAGAGATCATAAAATCTCTTTCCGAAAACATCAGTTTGCTTCACCTCAACCTTCGAGCAAACTACCTAGTAAGTCTTTCAAGTGACCTCTTTAGGAAGAAGTAGGGGTCTCCTTTGTGAAATTAACCAAGGAGAAGAACAATCTCCTTACAGTTGATCTTAACCTAAACAGCATTCGCCAGAGTAACTTCTACCTTACTCTATAGAGTATATTGAAGAGACAAATGAAAATCTGAAGAAAAACAAGATTATTTACGGTATAAAAATGAAGCACAAACTTCGCCAGGACCACAAGTCCTTACTGAAGGAATTCAGTACTGATATGCATCCTCAGTTGCTGAAAGAGATAGAGGATGCCAAGCAATACTGTTCCCACCTCAAGACTCAGGCTGAGGTAGGCCCTGTCTTGATTTTTAGGAAATTAAAGAGTCTTCTAAATAACATGGAAGGCAAACTTGCCAATGAGCTTGAAGATCTCCAGGAAGAGTACGAACGACTTCAGAAAGTTAATGAAAAGAAGGATTTTGAGATCCTAGAAGCTGAAGCTTCTGCCAGAAAGTAACCCATTCAGTTATCCTATAGAGTCAAGAGAACACATGAGCAAGAGATCAAGGATTGGAAAGAAAAACTTGAAACCAAGCAATTGGCAATAGAAAGTCTCCAGAAAGCGGTCCAGATGAAACAGAGGGATCTCCAGAAGAAGTATGATTTAGGCTGATTTCTTTAGAAAGGACAAGTATGAACTAGAGATTGATAAACTCAAGATGTATCTACCAGATTCTTCAGATTAAAGATGTTTGTGGTACTCCTTACATCTGTAATCAGAGAGGATCACCAATTTCACGCACAGGTAATATAAAAAGTTGTGAGGATTCAATTGAAATACAAGAGAATGGGGTTTTGGGGTTTTGGGGTTTTGGGGTTTTGGGG